GAAAGAGTACAAATTATGAATCAACATTTATCACCAGTCTATTACAAAAATTGTGTACACAAAAATTAGTGAAAAATATTGAATATAACACAGAATGGCAAAACTACAATATAAGTGCAAATTCTTAAGTCCATCATCACGTAATCTTTGCAATCATCTTGTTACATCCCATCTTACATCCAGATATTCTATTAAAACCGTTTCCAAATTATCCTATGTTCTTCCATTTGATTTCACATCAATATGTAAGACTTAAATTATGCATTTGGATATTTTAATATTTTCATTCTTAGTTAGGAGATGAGAAGATTTTGAAATAATGCTAGGTAAAGAAATTCCCTCCTTTTATCACAGAATCTGAAGATTCATATGTTCAAAAAATCCAAAGTCTGCTGCATCGAGTCCATGCTTACACAACCTACTTCTCTTAGGATATACATTTTTATTTTCCTCCTATCTGTACTTAACGGTCTCTATCCTCAAGATTTTCCAATTAAAGTGTTGTGCAAATATTCATGTAGGGCTTATATAATGCATTTTCTGCTCAACGCTTATTACTTTTGTTTTAGTCTCAAATATTCTCATCAGTATGTTGTTTTACAAATGTGACATTTTCAATAACATTTGCTGGCAGCCCAGCCCATCTACTGCCAATTCAGCGTCAATTATCCATTATCTCCAAACAAGTTCCTTCATCCATTCTGCTGAAAAAGGTCTGTTTGGAGAATGTTCAGAGTCATCTGAGCCAATCAAACACCATGCACTTACAGGCACGATAACCCAAACTGTGCTTTAAAATGAATTCAAATGCAGCAGAAAAATTTACAATTTATGCTGTGTAAAACAACACCTGTTTTCTACTCATACTCCCATCTACAGATTGTTTCCAACACAGAACTATGGACTACCAACACTACAAACATGAATAAAAAAAGTAAAGCTGTCCCACTACATTTTAAAATATCATAATTACTTATCTTATATAAGAATTATTAAGAAATCTGTGATACTGCCCTCCACTCTCACTATTTTAGTTTTGATTAAATTGGTCACTGTGGGTGGACATCGTGGTGCTTAAATATAATTTAAATACAAAGACGCATTTACGTCAGATTCTCCGGAACCGTGGTTCCACTGTCAATTTGTTTTTGGAGCTTCATATTCTGCACATCTTCAGATTTCATTTTTAATTACCACCAGCGACACACAAGGGACAAATTACGAGGGCCAATCAATAAGTAACAAATGTTGAACATTGTATGTTACTACAAACACTGACACTAAGACCCATAATGATTTTAATTCTGCTATTCCCAGCAGAGTATAAAGTTTAGATTCATTCTGTTTTACTCCCAAAGGAACCGTCATTACACAACTTACCATTCAGCATTCTTAACATGTATATACTCACAATTTACTAGCCTCCAACTTGGTAAGATTAGCTAAGAAGTATGAAGGTAAATGAGCCAGAAGAGGATTGCCAACCCTGTCTATTATCTTGAATCTGGGATAAGTCCAATTGCTGCTCACATCTGGCAACAATTTCACCAAAATCTTGGCAATTGTATTTTGGATCTGGGATGTCAATCCAACTCCTTGCAGCTGTAATTCATATTAAAAAAAATTTGTTTTATATACAAACTTCAAATTGTCATATAAGTAATGTTCAAGTGGTATTTCAACAGTTTATTCTGAGAATAAAATTATATAAATTAAATGAAATAAAATACAATACAATGAGTTGCCAAAGGAGTTTATTACCAACAATTTAGTCACAACCTACAAGATAATATAAGAAATGTTTACTGAAAACATGGTGAAACAAACTAACTAGATGGCTTACCGAACCCGAAGGTTCATCACCGAATTAACCAAAGCCCTCCACTGGTCCCTGTCCTGGGCCAGCAAAATCCAGTCTCCTTCAACACTTATCTCCCATAGATCCCGCCTGACATTATCCTCCCATCTACGTCTAGGTCTCCCCAGAGGTCTCTTCCCCTCAGGCTTCCCAACCAATACCCGGTGCTCATCTCTTGTCCCATCCATGTGTGCTACATACCCCACCCATCTCATTCTTCTCGACTTAATCACCATTACAATATAGGGGGAGGAGTACAGATTTTTAAGCTCATCATTATGCAGTTTTCTCCATGCCCCATCGTCTTCTCTCCTAGGCCCAAATATCCTCCTAAAACAACCTATTCTCAAACACCTGAAATCTATGTTCCTCCCGCTGAGTGAGAGACCATGTTGAAACAAAACCTATTGTAACTAGAATAGCCAGTTCTATAGTATATTCAATTCAATAAGAATGAAAAAGTATTTTCCATTCCTGAAAAATAGTGAGATTAATTTTGTTGCAAGTTAAATATCATGTGTACACATGTAGGCCTATAACATATTCACTACAGAAATATGAAATATTTAAAGTTAGGAAACATAAAATTGCTAACGTTCTGCAAAAGTTTTATTTACTATACCATCATGAAAAATTCTTCAAACGTGGCAACATTAAAATTTTCCATTATTTTCACTGCAACAGCAACATCTTCAGATTTGGTAAGTAATGCAGCCAGTGAAGATCCTGGAACACTGCTCAGACGGTGGGACTAGAGAAAAGACAACATCAAATTTATTTAAATTAAAATAAAATATGTCACATCCTGTGTTACATTATTTTCAAACAAAAGTCTACATGCCCCAGATCCCAATTTTAGACCAAAACCAGCACTTGGAACAGGTAGTCATCAATCTGAAATTGTGAATTTGTGTTTATTTAATGACGTTTTCAGTAGCTCAGATTAAATAGCATCAAATGAGAGGATTATAGTGAATTGGAAAGGGCATGGAAGGAGGTGGTCATGACCTAATTACAGTATAATCCTGGCATTTGCCTGCATTTGAAGAAAATATTGCTGGATAGTGCAAGAAAAGCCATTCCAGAAACAATTAACTTTAAAAACATACAAAAACAAAACAATGGCGTGGAAAGACGGGACTTCTGAAAACTAATGTTCTATAATAAATTCAGATATTTGCATGCATGATTAAAACATTATGAAGACAAGCTGAAAGTAAGGCCTTCTAATTTTCTTCAAAAATAGAAATAAAAACAGGTATTTTCCTTAAAATTTGTTCAGTAATTTTTCACAATTACTTATGAACATAATAACCTCTGTGATGCACACACTTCTACCAATGTTTGGATAGTTTCATGAGTCCATCACAATAGAGTTCTGCGTGTCGTTGATAGGGCCACAAATTCACTGCTGTCTTGACTTCATCATTCAAATACAATTGATGTCCTTTCAGACGTTCTTTCAGTTTCAGGAAGAGATGGAAGTCAGATGAAGGCAAGTCTGGGTTGTATGGTGTGTGGTCAAAGATGGTGAAACCAAGGAGGTGAAACTCTGAGGACTAACTCTTCAAATATGTGCCTTCAGTTGTTGCACTGTTCCAAAGTAGCACTCGAGAGTTAATGGTGATATGTTAATGCCACGCCAACATTCTACATTGCACTATTTACACAGCTGTACTTCAGAAGCTTCTAGTGGCAGAAATATGAAACTTCACACAAATTACAGGGAAGTTTAACAGTGTGATATAGTTCACAACACTTCGGGTCTGTTTCTTAGAAAAGATGGAGACATTACTTTTCAGCACACCCTCATATACAATTACCATAAACGTGCATATTTGTTCAGTGCTTTTTATTGCTCAGTGTAACTTTTTATGACAATGTGCGTTGTTGGCAGACTACCTACTACGAAACAGTCACATTCTAAATAATATTTCAATTCAGTACCAAAATTAGTGCCAATTATAAACTGTTTCATCGTGTATGTGTAGGTTTTAGTTTTGAATCTTGCAAACTTTTGTAGTCCTGTCAAAATGAGTAGAAAAAGTTAAAACGAGGACATTCACAGAGGCTACATAACTTCACAAGCTGATCTGAGTTACAGAAGAGCTTCTACAAATTAACACTGCCTGTTACAGATAATGATTACTTTCAAATTACCAGAGTTAATGATCACTAATATTATCAATGCTGTGACATTTTGTACTTACTGGAATTAGAAGGAACAATGAAACAGGAAGTTTTACAATATCCTCAGGTGTCACCGTTTCCAGCCTACAATTTCTGATGCTGTCTTTCATACCTTCAGTCATATTTTCAAACATCTGCATAACTCTGTTAGGAAGTATGTAATCTAAACAAGAAATAAAGCATTCAAAACACACTCTACTAACTGGACATAGTTTTAAAGCATTTTCATGTTTCGATATCCATTCAATAGCAGAACGTGACAAGATTCCTAGAAGTAAATTACTGCCATAGGACCAAATGGGATCACAGACCAATGTTATAGCATTTCTTGAAAAACAAGGGCAGAGTGCCTTTCTCAGTCTTAATGCCAATTGCTTGCAGAAGAGTTAGGATCAATAGTCCATTCAAAAGTACAATCTCTATTTAATAATATTCTCTGTAAAAGCTATATTTTATAAATATTTAGTACTGAGCTTGTTGAAAATTGTTTCATTGCTCATATTACAGATTAAGCCATGCTACCTCAAACTAATTTGTTTATATCCATGCTTAGGTCCATAAATGAAGAGCAAAATTTGAACTGTATAGGAAAGGAGAAGTTACACACTTGTTGCTGTTCATTGAATATATAATATAGAAACCAAGGTAGAAAACATTTGGGAAAATTTAATTAAGACAGTACCAAAAATTCCAGACCACTCCTGGTTTGGAAAACAGACAGGTAAGTGAAAGAATTGAGTGAGAAACTAGTAGATAAATTACACAGAAAAACAGAATTTATGTACACAGACAGATTTCAATATAACGCCTGTGTTCCCATCACCTACAGCGATCTTAATGCAAAGTTCCTTTTTGGTACAACAGAAACAGTTCACCATTAAAGAGGGTCAGGGAGACATGAGTAAAGGATTTTTCCTTTGGGCTCCACCCAGCCTCCTAGCAAAAGAGTACCAGTGGTCGTTTCCTCAGGAGTAAAGCATAGCTGGGTTGTAATGCTGACCCCGTCTAATGTCAGAGCTTTTCCTCCTCTCCTGCCAAGTAAGACTTTGATATGTAATGGGACAGTCTTTACTTTACTGTTTCAAAATAATTTCACTTAGATTGCTTAAAATGGTATGAATTACTTACATCCATGATATCCAATATCTCTTAAATTTTCGTGCAAACTGGTAGATGATTCCTAATTACTAATAATATTAAATCCTCTGCGCTGACTTCACTGAGTTGAAAATCTGCCATAGACTCATTTTGACCATTTCCACTTGAACATATTTCAAACCAGAGAACTTCTTAATTATTGACTAGCCAAGCTACTATTAGCTTCTCAAGAAGTTCTACTCTACTGAGTAGAATAACACATTGTCGACCTACCTCTCGCCTCACCACACGGTGATGTAGGCGCACCTGAGAAGATGCACTTCAGAGCTACTATAACACCTCCATCGTGCTCAGTTGGTCTCGTTGCATTGATCGACGTCTGGACTGTTTCTGAAAGTAATCAAACTCTATACCATCTCGACAGTTACCTGTACTTATATAATTGTCTAGTTCACATATGCAAGTCTTCTGGCTCAAATACTTGTACTTGAACAAAACTTGCATGCAAGTGGCAGATCACATGTATCAGTGACTTGTACGCAATCTCATTTGCATGGTTGACTATTTACTGTGAACATGTCTGTGCGTGAACATATCTACCAGTAATATTGTATCAAGTATCAAGAAAAAATGTACAATATATTGTGGAAGAAGTAGTTGTGGGTGAGATCCTGGATCGATTGCCACGACACCCTAGGAGCGTTGAGTATGTATTTGAATCATGGCTGGAAGTTGAAGAAACCTGTCTCAGCCATATTTGAATGGCTCCACAAGTGGTTAGCAAAATTACTCATATGTTACAGAAGAGGGAGGGACATACACACACAGGAGAAATACTAATCCCACAATAACAAAGCTGGAGGTTACATTAAGATAAAACTAGCAGGGCTCTTATCTAGGAACTGAGATAAGCTAATGAAATGTGTGTGACACAGATCTGCAAACCAAACAGGAGACCATGCAGTGGCAGTACAAAGGATACCTACCACCACACAAATTTAGCAGACCATCCAGATATCTACTCGTCAGATTTTCGACATAGAAGTAACTTTCAGCTTCTGTTAAAATATAGTTCCAGTGTTTGGTGATGACTAAAGGCGCCCATTGTTTGTTAGGAAATGTGCCAACTGGTTACATTACACATGCACAAAAACATTTATTCTTTCCTTGTGTGTGTGTTTTGTTCCTATTTTAAGACACTTGTATTCTATTTTACGCTACTTCTTTCTTTTTTATCCATTACGTTCTTGCCGCCCTAGGCGACCAACTAGTTATCCTCGTGGTTAAGCCGGTTGTTGTAACACAGTAGATCAAGAGGGTCTATCTATCCCTTGCAGTAAATGCGAACAGCTTGACCACCACTGATGAATGTCAGCACTGTTAAATACCTGTAGTTGGAGCACGCTTCATTACATTATGTAACTTGGCGGAGATTGTTATTTAAGGCACCTGAGCATTTGTCATGCGATGGCGTTATCGGCAACATTGTCGTGATTGGTTCATCGTCTACAGGAAGAAAGCTGATACACAGAGTTAATGAACGCTGCCTACAAAGTACGACCAACTTGGTTATCCAGTCACATTTTCATCTAAACTGCATCTGAAACTAACAGTCCGGACATTCGCTATCGCTCTAGTGTATTTTAGAACTATTAAAGTGTGTATGATGTAGGTTCCCCGTGCGAAAATTAATTAGGCATGACAAATAGCAAGTATCTGTTCCTCACAGTGGAAAGAAACTGTCTTGGTCGGTTGCTAATGCTGGGCGATCGGAAGTAGTCTGTGCGTGCTAACTACGTCGGCGTTTGAGCTTGTGAAAGGGCATAAAGTTACTCGTGCCCTGCGTTCGGAAAACATTAACCCACTCCAACATACATTTTCTCTTAAGTAATAGCAGAGGCTGGTAAAAGCCGTCTCTTTGACCGGTTAAGTAGCCTGCTCACATTCCGTGTCCTCATTAATTTTTCCTGTCTAATGCAGCGAAATAGTTTTTCTCTTGATGATTTCTGTCTTCCGGGTTCTTGCGCTGTGTAGTATGGTAGATGTTTACCAACGTTTCAGAGATCATAGCGCCTCTCGGCCTCAGAATTTACTACATATCCACAGCACTACTAAATACTTATCCTCGGATTAATAACAGTGGTGAGCGCGTTGAAGAAATCGAAGTTCCTTTCAAGGCATTTTTGTGAAAACTAAATGGAATTTCGCATCGTATTAAAGGGTCACGAAATTAAAATTACATAATAAACTGTTGAACTTTTTTCATTATCCTACAAGGTGAAGTACAGTCCACGACTGTAATCTTGAGACTTGCAAGTCGCTAGATTACATTCGTGGACTAATTTCATTAGTGTCTATGGCTCCGTAAGGAACTATTTTTTTTATTTTTTCGTTGCTCTGAAGTATTGGACCTAAGAAGATGTCTGGTAAAGAAGTGTATATAAGTGTGTATAACAATGCAGTGCAACAGTAGTCACATTTTGTTTCGAAGTGAAACGTGTTTTTTTAAGAAACTGCGGTATGTGTAACGTTTTAGACACTTCCTAGGTGTTTGGAATAGACGTCATTGACTTCCCAATTAATCAGGATTCAAAAAAGGGTGAAATATAAACAAATAAAACCCTAAATCTTTATTCTAACTTCGGAACGGTTTTGCTATGAATTAGTAAGGAAACGTTCCTCTCTTCGAAACTAAGGGAACAGAAATACACGAAAATAGAAAAAGAAATCGTCAAACAAGCATTTGAACTTGTTTCTAGACTTACATAAATAATGCGCATTTAATTTTGTACAGGGCGAAGGAAAAGTCACATAACCCATATTAAAGTATTTATTGATTGTTTTAATTCAATACAATTCGATTGCATTAATGAGCACACACAATATCGCTGTGACTACACAAGAACCCACGCAGGTGACGTCTGTCAGTTGTTTTCCGACAGTCCAAGTGCAAGGTTGTCTTTTTAAAAAGTGCAACGAGTGTTCATTGTCGAACACCACCTGGCAGCTCATTCTTACTGTACTTGCGGGAACGAGTCTAGGGGTACATTGCCCAAATAGTTTCCATCTTTGCAGAAAGTCTTTACTGCGTTACATCAAATATGACGAAAATAATTAAAACAGGCAACGCTGATACTTCCATCTCTTAATATAACATTGTATTTTGTTCTCCGATTTAAATGTAATTTACTTTTCGACAAATAAAATTTGTCAAAAATGGATTGCGTAAATTTTCGATCACCCTGCATTGTAAAACGTGGCACAAAAACGGAGGCGGTTAGCTAAGTGCTATACTACTTACCGGGATGTAAAACCAACAGCACGGAAAGTACAGCAAGCAACTTGCAACTGTTCCATATCTTGAATCTCGTCATGCCAGCCACACACTAAACTGAGAAGAGGAAACAGATAACTTTATATCAAAATAGGCCCCGCCAATATTTACTTTAAAATGATAAAAAATTGAACCCTTATGAGTTCATTGAAAGAACTTTCTTTTCTCTGTATACTACACTAAAATCACATTTAGCAAAATTTCCATGAGCTATAAATTTTTATATTTGCATCAATAACGTTATGATAGTAAGGGTAAGTAAAGTAAAGTTTGTCCCACTATACGCCATGTAGGCGCTTGGTGGGAGAGTCGGTATAGCTCCTCTCTTCCTTGACCTCGGCACTAGATGGGGGTGAGTGGTCAGCATCACGCCCCGGCCGGCTTTACCCCCGGGAAAGGACCCCGGTACCCATTGTAGAGGAGGCTGGGTGTGCCCCAGAGCCGGTCTGGACGCAGAGGCTAGAGGAAAAATCCTCTGCCCCCGTCGGGGATCGAACCCCGTAGCTAGTCACTATACTGACTGAGCTATCCCGGCTCATTGATAGTAAGGGTATTTTCACAAATTAAGCACTTTGTTTAGGGTCAAAAGATTATTCCATTCTTCGTTATGGAGTGAAAATAGGCAAAAATTAATTTGAGGCTCAGTGTTGCCAACCTCCAACATAGATCCAACTGCATAACATGCTCCACTTAACATAGGTATCACTTTATCGATATGATTTGTCCAATTTAGGTGGTTATCAACTTGAAAACCCACGAATTTTGTATTTACTATTTATTCTGTATACTTTCCACTATAACCAGTAACTAAAGCATATTGAGGGGAGTTATTTCTTTATAAATGTTGTTATATTTGTTTTATCTTGGTTTAGGGATAGCTTGTTAGCACGTTTTATATAATAAACCAATGCAACTGACTGAAGAACTTAGTCAAATTAATATTAGCTCAATTAATAATCTTCAGACCAATAGTAACAAATATGGTCAGAGTATCACGGTCAATGACGTATTATTCCACATCACGAGTACTAGCGTCCGTCACGTTTGTATCTGAATATGATAGTATATAATTTATTTACTATTGATGTAAGTTCATATAATGTTATTGAATCCCCACTACAGAATTCTGAAATATAACATGGAACTAAAAACAGTTGTATAAGCAGTCCGATCTCCATTAACCAATTACAATCTTACAGGGGATCGACTGACTCCACAGCGATTTGTACTTTTGGTTAAAACGCCCGATCCTCTTAAGTTCAAAAGGCCTCAGAACCATTTCTTACTCCTAACGACACACGCGATGGCATTGACGTAAAGTGATTAATCTCCTTGCAGGGTGACGGGAGGATTTGGCTTTGTATTTCCTCTCCTAAACGCTTAGAAGACTGACATGAAATATAGAGCAGGAGATGGGCAGGTTACTCAAAAACTCTGCACTGCTTTCGTTTTTGGTTTATATTCGTTCACCTTTTTTTTAAAAAAAAATAAAACTTCTCAAACAAGTCTCCAGTATCTTTCGTGATGCATTATTTTTCTTGTACTTTCTTTGGCGTGGTGATAAGCTTTCGAGAAACAGATTGCATTTAACTGTAAGTAAGATTGTCAGTTCTTGCTGCCTCCAGATACGACCGCGAAGTTGTTCGTTTGACGGGTCGTTTTTTATACCTTAAAACATCACGCACACGTAAGATATTAAAGAATCTTAATACCTTTAATCTGAAACTTCACTGGCGATTGTGGTGAAATATTATTCTTGTAGGAGCGACTCTAATACGAAATTCCAGCTTTTCTCGTCTGTTTCTGTGGAACTCCTCGGTAGTATATTTTTGTGGTGATCCCAACGAATGTAAATATTAAAATCTGACTAATGGAATATGTACCAGAGATAATTGTGCACAGGAATTGGTATTCAAGTGTTTTGCACAGTTTCTTCTTATTCTGTCTAATTAATCTAAGCTTATACCTGAATTATGAACATAGATCTATAATTTAAAATGTTTGTTTATCAAACTATCGGGCAGTTAAGGATTCAAATTCTATTATTTCTTAAAGTCTTGGCTTAGAAGGCTTAGAATCGAGTATGAATCCCACCAACAAACACATTCCAAATTAAATACCCTCGAGATGTATAGAAAGCACGAATGGAGTTAAACGGTGGAATGAAATGCGATAGGTTTAACGACTCGTAAAACTCAATTTGTATTCAATATTGATTACGTGATCGCCTTTTGGCATAAGCTCTAGTGTACATCTTATTACCCACAAAATCCATATCATTGAAACTAGATTCAAACCTCGAAACATGACAACTTCCCTCAAAATATTGTTTCAGGAAAGTATTTTACAGCATAAACTACATATGACGAAGTTTCAGTAGAGGTGGCGAAAACCCCAGAATAGGGCCCGATTACATTCCCCTTCCCCGCACATGTCATCCTCCATTTGATCATAACAACAATATTTGGTTAAGAGTATGAATTACTAATCCCTTAATTATTTAATTTCATTTTATGAAACAACAATATTTTTAAGTACAATACGTCAATAAGGAAAGATTGTACGCATTAGACTACTTATTTCTACGAAGCATTAAAAGTCAGAGCACAGACTTCGTTAAAATTTTCGAAATCAAACATTGATCATGCAAGTTCCTTAAACAGGAAATAGCACACCACGCCTTAAGTAATTAATATTTCCACATCGCATATTGGAAACATATACGCAAATGTAGAATCTTAATGAAGGCCGCACATCAGTCAAAAGTTAAAGCAGAATCTGCTTTTACAAAGAGAGAACAATTTATGGTATCGTTCTATCTTCCAAATATCTGAAGGGGCGATAGCACGATCTGCAGATACGCGAACCTAGTTTCGAACTAGAAACACTGTTCTGAAGACCAAAGAAACTGACTTCGCTCAACTACGACAGCCGTTTTCAGCTTTAATGAACTCCCAAAACCCCTCTGTCTGCACTCATGAATGCGAATGTAAGGAGACTCGATGGACAAAATAATAAGTTCTGCGAAAAATTTTCAGTTACGTGGCCCCAATGACCAAAGAATATTTAAATGGAAAACAACTGTTGTGGAATGCAGCTAGACTCGAAGAAACCTCATTTCAGTACAACATACCTGACTATAAAAGCTACTTTCGCAGACAGAATCCCGGCTAGCACTATCGAACACCTCTCTTACTCCGAACTGAATGAAAGTAGAACCTTACATAGCTACGGTATTACATAACTGATAGCAGCGCATTCTTGCGGGTTTCTACAAACACAAACATCATATCATTGGCTACGTCAAGGGAGAACGTGTTTTTTTAGACCCTTCACCCTTCGTATCCAAGGTTATCCACGGACCCGACTTCCCCACGACCGAAAATCCCTTATGAATGCAGACCTCACGATTTGTTTCGTGTCTATGTTTTCCTGTACCCGCTACATGCAAACAGGGGCTATGAGACTGCCAGCTAGATGGGCCTTGAAATACACACTGCAGTAAAAACACAGAGAAATATTGTTTTCCAGCTTTTTAATGTAAAATAAGTATCATTCTGTAACAGCTTTCTGAAATAATAATCTTACATTTTCAACCCTTCTCTGGTAACATTGAAAGGTGTACTCGAAGAGGAAAATTATACCAAGTGAAGTACTAAAAGGATGTTCTGCTTATTTATTAATGTCTTTTAGAAAGGATGGCAAGGACTTCAAATCCTATGTAACCAGGACTGAAATTAAATGTTCCATAATAATTATTCGCAAATGTAATCTATAATTAAAACATGTTCATCCAGAAAAACAGCGAAACTGAAAATCTTGGTATAGTGGTTAGCACTCTTGCTTTTTACTCAAGATGTCCCAGATTCCGAACAGTTTCTTGCAGTTTTCTTCAGTGTCCACAGATGCATGATAGTGATTTAATAATGATTTCCAGGTTATTTAACTGTATTAACTGCAGGTCGTATGAGCCGGGATAGCTCAGTCAGTATAGTGACTAGCTACGGGCTGGACGACCGGGGTTCGATCTCCGACGGGGGCAGAGGATTTTTTTCTCTAGCCTCTGCGTCCAGGCCGGCTCTGGGGCCCACCCAGCCTCCTCTACAATGGGTACCGGGGTCCTTTCCCGGGGGTAAAGCCGGCCGGGGCGTGATGCCGACCACTCACCCCATCTAGTGCCGAGGTCAAGAAAGAGAGGAGCTATACCTCCACTCACCCCAAGCGCCTACATGGCGTATAGTGGGACAAACTTTACTTTACTTAACTGCCAGGTCGTTGTAAGGTAACGTGATATTAAAATGATTAACTGCATTGAGAAGGGTGATTCTTAATAAATTAATTCTCACTCGACTGGTAAATAAACTCTCTCCTCTTACGGAAACACAAAACCCCGTCATTGGTAGCTAACCTGAGTCACATAAATCCAGTCCATACCCTCATATTCTATTTTAATATTATCTTCCACGTAAGCCTAGGACTCTCAAATGGACTCTTTCCTTCAGATTAAAAAATTTCTTGCATTTCTCATGTTTCCCATGTAAAGTACGTGACAATGATTACACATTTAAATTTGGGATAACTGGTTAAGAGGAGGTTTTTCATTCGACAAAGTTTGTAATTTAATATCTAGACGATGGCATAGAAATAATTTATATTGAAATCTACCATTCCAAATACAAGTTAAACGCCGTACCGATGAGCTAACCAGTCCCAGTACACTAGTATAGGTTTCGATATCGTGTACGTTTCTTTGAAATCAAGTTGTGGCGGACTCTGGATGGCTGACGTTACCCAACGCAATAGTGAGGTTTCAGATTCTCAGGGCGGCGAGAATGAAGATGTCGGTCTTTTCAGATTTTGTGCTCTTTACACTGGTAGAAGTTCACCATTTTTTCAATGGTCCTTCCTGCCACCATCAAAATATCTCCCTGATGACAGAAGCAGCAAGCGCCTATGAAACGTTGGTAAACTTAGATCAGACTACAAGACGCAACAACCCAGAAGACAGCCATCTTCAGCATAAAACAGTCTTTGTACTAAAAGCATGAGTAGATTTCAAAACACCAAAGCTAAGGAAAATTCCTATCTAAATAAGGCTATGAAACCAGAATTTTCACGTTCGTTCAATAAACTGCATGTTGAAAACGTCAAACTAAATATATTTTATATATATTTGTTTACATTTCGTAAGCTCATTTTACAAAATAACAAGACTATGTAATTGTTTATTAGAACACCGCGTCTCCGTTCGTCTTGAATCCCACCCAGTTCAATCTACTACATTTTTAATCAAATGTTTCGATTAAATTTCGTTTTGGATCGACTGAGGAAATTTGTCGTACTAGTTTACTACTAACATACTGCCTAGATGTGTTTGAGACAAAGTTATGGCTTGTAATAAAATGTATATTTTATTATATTTACCTACATTCTTATTTTCTTATAGTTAATTTAAAGACGCTTTTCAATATCTCAGACTATATATTGTCGAGAGGATGATTTTGAGTAATGAATTGGAAGGGATATGGAAGGAAGCTGGAGTGACCTAAGTTAAGGTGCTATCCAGGTATTTTCCTGGAGGGACTGAGGCAAACCACGAAAAATCTCAGACAGGATAACCGATCTCTGGGCCGAGATTTAAACCTGGGACCTTCCAAATAACACTCGACCACGACGTACATTTTTGTTAATCAGGATATTTTCAAGATAATGACAACAAAATTAGGCTTACAAAGACTTACTGCGCGTTTTCCAACCTTCTATACTGTAGTGGCAGTTCACGTGACCAAACTGACTGGAAAGTGTAAATTTCGTCTGATATTTCAGGCGCCTCAGTACGTCATACACGTTTCTACATCTCACAGAACAGATCATAAATGAATCCACTCACGTAATACGACGTGGGCTCATTTAATTACAGTTAAGTAGGAGAAAGGAGAACAGTTGTGTCTGGCTATGCAACCTACGAAGTTCGCTACCACATCCTTTCTGGACATATAGCCCTCGGACTGTCATCGAAAATGATTCTCTCGCTACACACTGCAATCCTTCCGACGTCGAAATCTTTTGATTATTCAGTTTTCCTCCTTTGTGTCAGCCAGAAAAAGAAATTCTTGATCAGAGACAGGCCTCTTTCCGGGCATAATGTAAGGCAGGGGTGGCCAACCCAAATGATCTTTAGGGCCACTTTGGAAATGCATCATAACTCCGCGGGCCACATATAAAATTATATATCCCCATATTATTATTAATATTAATATTATTTTAAAATCAAAGTTATTTTTTTCTCATAATTTCGACAGATAATTTTTGAATATATGGATGCACAAATAATGTATTTTTTTAATACATTGGTTTTCACTACTTTGGCCATTATAAAATAAATATATTTTGTAAAAGTGTGATGAATCTCGCGGGCCGGAAAAATGTTCAAGGCGGGCCGCGGGTTGGCCACCCCTGATGTAAGGAAAACTTTCGAAATTCTTGCACTTGAAATTAAACACGAAACAATCAGTAAATTACAAAGAGCAGACCCTCCATGTCCGTGGTTTTGCTCAATTGCGGAGTCATTACTGTGGTAGTACTTGTGGGTCGCAGAGTAGGTCCCACATGAAGTAACATGCAACAAACCGTGCCTGCCCCCAGCTACGTAAATATGGAACTGCACCGAATGTAATTTTCAAATTTTTAGTGACGTCATCTCGATAAACACCAGCACTGTTTTAATGCTTATTAATTATGTTTCGTGTGTCTTTGGTTCCCTTAATCTCGCTTTTCCCACCAGGTCTTAACTTCGACTTGATTAATATAAACACACAATGTCTTCAAGATATATATATACTATCCTTCAGACGGCTACTCCTAAGAAGTTGCTGCGTTATTATATTAAAAGTTTCACTAAGTCACTTCCAGAAGGGTCTGGAAATACCATATATTTGTCACAAAATAAAAATATAGCAGCATATCCAAATATATATCCGAGTTTAATTACTTTTCTGTATAATGCGGAAACTTCTTAAGGCCGGCATGCAATACATCGAAACGAATCGATTCACATCGAATCGAATCCAAATTTTCGATTGGTGGCGCATAGTAGTATACGACGAACGCTTTCGAGAAAACCTCATGACCTTCAAATTATCCGTGTCACTCTGACCTCACGCTCCGCTCTACACAACAAACAATTCTTAATCAAGCAAGCAAAGCTGTGAGGAAAACCGCTGAGTTGTGTGTGGCAAACATTGCTCTTGTTTTTGCGTAGGTCCTATGTCCATGGTGACGTCCATCGATAAAAAGACAAATTATTTGACAAAGTCCTGACAAAGGAAGGTATAAGTAAACTGTTTTATTTTTCGCAGATATACGTACACACCATTAAGTTGTTGTTGTTGTTGTTGTTACTACTACTACCACGCGACAAACTAATATCTTTAACAATCGATAATACAAAATATCGAAAAATATCGCAAAATATCGACATTTTACAGAGCAAAAGTATTTTAGAACTCTAGCTTTTTCACGACGTGAATAAATTTCAACTACCAAAATGAAATTCTGTAGTTCACTGTTATTTTAGTTCATTACGAGTAGTTAATCAGTTAATTTCCAAGTAAACTAGTCGATTTATTAGTCAGTAGTAAATGATATGCCAAGTTAATTGATCGGTTAGTTAGACAGAAAGTTAATGAATAAGTTAGCTGATAAGTCAGCAAATTAATCAGTTTGTAATGTATGGATGTAAGACATTTACATTTTGTTGTCGAAGCAGAGATTTAAGTAAGCTATTTTGGAGATGACTCAGTGTATCGATTTTGAAACTCATTCGACTTTTTCGGAAACATTCACTTTTTTTTCTGTTATCTGAGCAGGCAGACATTTCCGAAACGTAAATTCTGTCCAGATATATCAGTTAATATTTAGACGACAGATCTGCAAACAATATCTACGCCCATATCTTGTTTAAACTTTGTCACAAAATACGCAGAATTCGCTGGGTGGAAATCGTCGGCTTTTACAATAGAACTAATGTTTACGGGAGACATATTTATATTCACTGCTTGTGATATTTGCGAAAGAATGACATTCGACGTACATACGTCACCATCCTTCCCATAGACGGTTATATTTTCCTGGAATCAAAATACGATATGCGAGCTTCATGTACGTCACAAAAAAAAAAGGGGGAAAGACGAGATTGGGGCAAGACGCCATCGCTTCCCCTCCCTCCTTGTACCTAGGCTCGATAACCACGTGTATTTGTAACGGTTAATGAAGGTGGGAGATATCTTGTGTCAATTAGCTACACTAAGCGTGTTCCTGAATCTTTTCGTGAAATTCATTCAACGCTGATATGTTGAGTGTTGAGTACTCAAGCCAGAAACACTGATAAATGAACTAAAGGTCATTAAACCTCATGACTAAGTCTTAACTCTGTCGGTTGTACTCATAGATCGTGTGTGGTGGTAAGAGTTTATTTTTCTATGGCAATAGTCTTTAAAGGGCTAGGCTATTTATTTTTATATTATTCTTATAAAAAAATATTAAAGGTTTCTACTAATGTACGTACGTGAAAAATGACCATTTTAACCTTCGCCCCGATGACGGAGGCAGTATGACCTCTGAAACGTTGGTAAACATCGACCAGACTACACAGCGCAACAACCCAGAAGACAGAAATCTTCATACTCATCGCCCTGATGACGGAGGCAGTATGACCTCTGAAACGTTGGTAAACATCGACCAGACTACACAGCGCAACAACCCAGAAGACAGAAATCTTCATACTCATCGTCCTGATGATGGAGGCAGTATGACCTCTGAAACGTTGGTAAACATCGACCAGACTACACAGCGCAACAACCCAGAAGACGGATATCTTCATGTTTCAGATTTATATTACAGAGCACTGAACACTAAACCCTGAAGTAATTTGTAACTACCAAGCAGTGTATTCCATATGCCTTTAAAAACGTTATTTAAGTAGTATATTAATTAGCATAATTATCACATTCAATCTTGAATACTTATATCTCTTTAAATGGTTCTTGTAAATTCTTTTAGGAATTTTACGAGTTAAATACACAAGGACAGAATTGATATATTACAAAATTTTATTTGAAGGTACTTTAAATATAAAAGGAAATTTCGGTAATTCTCTACATTTGATGACAGGACGTGTACCTTGTTATTTATAGTCTACTGAGAGACGTATAATTTTCACATAGCTTATATTTATTTAACTGTTGAAGGAACTCACAATGCCCTCGGAAATAGGCAAGCCTGCATAAAACAGGTCTTTGTCAAGCAGAGACGAGTCCCGTTTTACTACACACTGACTATCCTTCGTCACTGTCACGTTAATTGAAACCAGCAGCGTATATAGAAGGCACTTCCTGTAATTCGACAGTCTTACTCGTACAATAAATCACAAGCAATTAAAAATAAAATTTGACAAAACATATGTTTCAGAATCGTAATACAGAAACTGGTTAATTTATGTTTTCTTGAGTTATTAATTTTACATCGATTTTACAACGAAATCTTCTTCAACGGCAACCAGTGGAAACTGATTCAGTACTGACAGAGCAGATATTCCAAGGAGAACTAATCGCGTTCAACCGCACAATTACGTGAATCTTCTTAACACACGTTATCAATATTTGTTTAATCTTGTCAGTCTAATCGAAATGTTCGATTTTAAAATCGAACATTTCGATAGAGAACATCATTTAAAATATATTAAAATGATGTTCTCTATCGAAATGTTCGATTTTAAAAATCGAACATCTAGCAATATTTTAATATTTAATAGGAATTTTATTGTGATTAGACTGACAAGATTAAACAAATATATATTTATCACAATATGACGCAACTATATCATCACACGTTATTAAAATAAATGTCAAAATTATACAGTGTTACTGAAATACAGGGCACCAATTTAGGGGCGTGCTCCGAGCACAAAAGCAGTGGAAAATCATATATCATCAAATGTACCAAATAATGATTAAATACGTAATGAAGACAGCTGAAACAAACATTAAAATAACTCACAATTACTACAAAAGCAAATCTTAATATAAGAAGGTAACTTTGAACTGAGGAATGCGCTGTATATATGTACGTAAATTCATGCACGAATATGATAGAGAGATTTTGATTATAATCTTAATTCCTACATTACGTTTTTAGGAGCTAATTATATTTAAACAATTATTATTCTGGGTCACTGAAGAACTACAAGCTATAACATCTTTATTCTTAAGTACTGCTTTTGTAAATTAAAACTTACTCGTCACTCTCAGCGCTAGAACACAACTCTCAAATACAGCACCAGTAAAGAACTTCAGAAACTTTCAACTGGAAATATGAGATCTCTTTTGTCTTGACTCCCTGAACATAACCGAACAAATCGCTCATTAAAACAATGGTGGTCTCTGCACACGCGTTTCAGACAAAAAAAACCCTAATGCAAACCTCCAGCAAGTGTCGATGATGGTATTCTGGATTGTAAGCCACGAATAGGTAGATGACATCGTTTCGGAGGAACATAATGCATCCGTCTTCATTGCGCGTCCATCTTCGACCCTTAAGATGGAGACTGCATGTTCCCCCGAAACACTGGTTTTCACTTAGACGGCGTGACTGTCAGGAACACGAAAGTGAGAATCTCAAATCTTATATTCCAAATCATATTTTATTTAGTCCTCTAAAAATATTTTCACAGGCCAAAATTATGAATTTGAAGAAAATTGACACTTAAAAGTCGTAACTGAATTTGGTCAATCCGTATTCTCGCACCTCAGCTTCCGTTGTCTTCAATAGAGCGTGTCCATATTTGGCGGATTCTTATGCTGGCTGCTCGACTCACTACTGGAGCCCAATTGAGACTTCCTTGTGCTCGAACTGGAGGCTCCTGACCATGAGAATGAAGGAACCCTGTGCTGTTTGCCGTCCACTCGCAAGCCACTGCGACGCTGACTTCTTTTCCAACACCTGCTGAGGTTATCGCCAAAGGCTTTAACAACTTTCTCGGTGCAGGTGAAGGCAAGGAAAATGAAGAGACCCTGGAGAGTGTTAAGGGCGATGAACGTGTACCACAGGCCCTCGACATTGAGGTAGCCGGCGATGAGGCCCACGGTCCACGTGAGACCCATGACGAGCGCCAGTCTGATGTACAGGCGGAAGTCACGCTGTGTCCCGCTGCTGGAGGTGAAACGAGTCGTGGACGTGGTCGAGAAGATCATGTGGGCGCTCGAGGAGAAGAAGGCGATGTTGAGAACCATCACCAGGGCCAGCGGAAGCGCGAAGAACACCAGCAGCGCGTACCGGTGGCTGAACCAGCAGTTCTTCACGCCGAAGGCGGGTCGGAAGTCCTGCACCACAGAACCTGTGAAGGACATCGAGGATGGCTGTAGTACAGAAATGTCAGAAGCTTGGGAACTGTGGGCCTGCGCTTAACGTAACAATTCTGGAGCATTTGGATAAACTGACCTTTGAATTTCGAAGACTCCCAATGGCACGCAGACAACCAATGCCTGTGACAGCATCACATAGTTACAAATCTGGGCCACAGAGTTCTACGTTTAGACGAAATATTTTTATCTGTGGAAGAGAAACTTCAGACCACAACTGGAGCCTGTTCTGTATTGGCCAGCCTAATCTAGTCCCTATTCCCAAAACCTATTTCTCCAAAATCCATTAAATAATATTCTCCCATTCGCGATTTGTCAAACTATTATTTTGTTTACAACTATAATTTTATATACATATCTTGTTTCATCATCCTCCTCATTTAAACGGCAAGGATCTGGTAAAGAGTATGAATTATAAAGTTTCTTGGAACGATCTTAAAAGGTGCTTAAATTTCTTGTTAGACACACTTTTATGCTGCATTAATAAGTCAAAATAATTTCGTAAGATTTTTTTAAATAAGCCTATTTGTTCTTCACTCAAAGTTAAAGACGAAGTTTCGTATCCAAAATAACATACAATGGGGATGAGTTGTATTTTTATCTTATTTTAATGTTACAGTTTTTGGAAACGTGAACAAATAGATGTCTGTTCTAAATGAAAACACGCTTTTTCTGAGTTATTTATATACTACACTAAACGTAAGTTAGAGAATTCTATATATTACTAAGCCAGCAATTAAATTCATTATCATTTCACGTGTTTTATTAGGTATTACCAGCCATTGTTCTTCGACGTACCTTCACTAAAGGCAACTGTAATCGACTGTAGGTAACAGTTTTCCGTCTACGGCTAAAGTCAGTTACAGTTCCGTTGTTAAAGTTAAGAAATGCAAGTGAATTACAAACAGAACAGAAGAATGACGGAATGCACTTTCATAACGGAAGTTGCTTTGTCTGTTTCCCTTGCATGTCTTTTGGGATGGGAAGGGGAAGGCCGACAGGTGGTCCACAAATAGGCGCGTACGAGCTTTTCTTTTGTACTCTGATTAGGTGTGTTTCAGCACATAGAGCTGCTGTTCGGATATTATAAACTTCTCGGCAGGTTTAATTAAAACTGATGGGACTTCACCTGTACACTTCGATGACAACGCTTAGGCACATGGCTCAGAAATATGTGATAACTGATAAAATACAATTCCTTCTGACATGTACACCGCCATCATCGAAACGTAAGACATTAAGCTTTTGTTCAGTTCACGTTTTTTGTACTTTTTAAAATGTCATGGCGCTCGATTAAAATTTTAATTCAACTTCCGGTCTGATGGCGATAACTTATAGATTATTTGAACTATGCACTTGAAATATATAATAAATATTACTTCAAATCTTGTATAAATACATTTATGCGTTGTACATTATTCCTATGGCGATTATGCACGTTTTCGAAGTTATATTTTAAAAAATTAAAGTGCTTGAAATGTCTATTGGGGAAAATTATGAACTGTTTGATAATTAATGCAGGTCTAGTATTCCTCATCGTCTAATCAAAAAGACAAAAGCTTCAATACAAACAAAGAACATAGTCTTATCTTCAGACCCCCTCTCAACTACTCTTCTTAGGCCCACCTTCATAAGCAGAGTCCGTGGCGATAGCTGCTACTACGAAGACTAAGGGCGCCATCCAGGTCCAGGTGGAGTAGAGAGCGAACTTCCGCCACTGTTCCCCCGCGGAGACACGCAGTTCCGACGTGGCAAGACGAAGGGTCCGCCACACGTCGAAGGCCATTGTCAGCATCCACGAGAAGGACGCCAGGAAGAAGTACTGGGTAACCACGGCTACCACGCTGCAAGACTCGCTCCCCACCTGCAAAACGGGCATTAGCGCCGGTGCCTGCTTTCAGGAACGAAAAACGGTTTCCGAAGATCCCGGCGAACAGATTCATTGCCTTCTAATTACACAAATATGATTACAGAATTCACAAGTGAACTTTATGCCCAAGTTGATAGATGTCGTGAGGGTTATAGCGCCGTGTAACCTGGTAGAAGTTTACCAACGTTTCAAAGGTCCTTCCTGCCTCCATCAACAGGGAAATGAGTGTCCTGATGATGGACGCAGCAAGGACCTCTGAAATATTGGCAAACTTCTACCAGACTACACGGCGCTACAATCCAGAAGACAGCCATCTTCGGACTCACCGCCGCGGAAACATCAAATCTTTCTAATTTAAACCTTCCTGTGCTTATAACCAGGGATGAGGACGTGTCTGGTTGCCAATGTTATGTTTAAATGGTAGAGATGGACTAACAATTTATGTTACCTGCCAGTATGGATAAAGTACGTTATTTTCCCAGAAGATCGACTTGTAGTTTATATTCTTGTATGTATAAATAAATATCAAAGTTTCAATACAAATCACAAATTTGAACTTCTCTTGATTGCAGTATAAAAGTATTCGCACATAAAAGACTTTTTTTTTTATTTATTCACGTCCTCATTAAAACGTTACAGCAAATAAAAGTGTTGAAATTCTTACCTCTAGAAACTGACCGACTATGAAGACGGTGTAGGCGGCGAGTAGAGAAACGCACAGAGACGCCAGATTCTTGCCTGAGAGGTTCCTCAGTTCCGCGAGCAACATGAACGCCGTCAAGTGTAACAGCAGGAAAATAATGGAGACGCCGAGGCCAGCCATTGTCACGTAACTCATGCTGGGATTGAACTTGTCCACGTACTCCACACCCTCGTCCGTGCAGATCTCCAGACGACCGTCGCTCCTGATATAAAACTGGTTTTGTGGGTACGAGCGGTGATAGGCCGGGACATTCAGAGTCCCATCGTCCAGTAATTCATACTCGTCGGACTCGAGAAGAAACTTCGGGCAGTTACGGAAATAATCCGACTTACTTTCGTCTGCAAGTGCACCGCTGTCATTACGATGCTTGCCGCTGGCTACAGGATAATCCTCACCTGAATCGACAGGAGGTAAAACACTGATGCAATGACCCTCGATGTAATTCTGCCCTTCCAGTGAACAGATGACGTCACGACAGCGTCTGAAGAACGGGTCATACAGCTGATCCATACTAGAACATGCCCGTTCCTTTCCAACGATATTTCCAGAGTCACCAGTAAGATCAAACAGAACAGCGAAGGCTTTGGGGCTGAATTCCTTTCCATATACAGACACACGGCTTGATGCCCTAACGCAGGCGAGGTTCTGAACTGGGACGTTGTTGCAGATGGCGCAGTGTGCGTTCCTGTAGCCGTCGTTCTGATAGAACACCAGAGCTGTATATGCTTCACACCTATTTCTTACGTCCGTGTTTGTCCAATTGAGAGCACATGTGCGGATGATGCCCGCTGGACAACGACGCACGATGTGTTCAGAAGTATCCGGAAGCACAGGGTCCAAGTTACAGCTGTAACGTTTGATAGATTTGTGAGAAGGGAGACGCAGCGTCCACGAATTCTGGTCTGGTTCAAAGATGAGAGCACGGGATATATCAATACTTGTCAAGTTTGGAATTAGACCTTGTATCAGATTAGGGCATTCAAGTCTCGGCTTCCACACGTCTGTGCTGTTGGGATAAATGTCTCCGTGGCAGACGGCGCAATGAATATTTCGATACGTGAGCCCTGAACTGTGGCTCGTCACTGGCATCGTCGCCACTGGGTCTCGTAGGCTAGGGTTGTCATCTTCGCACCTCGACCGCGTTCCGACGTCGCTCCATTCGGGTGGACACGACGTCAGCATATAGATGCCACCGAACTGACGCAGCTCGACGCACGTGAAGGACGCAGCTCCGCGACGCTGTTCTGCAGCCACGAAGTGTGGCGAGTCGAGACAGCAGTCGCCATAGCGGGAGCACTGCGCGTCACACAGACAATTGCGGTCCTTCCAGTCGCCCAGGTGGTCGCCTAGGCGAGAGCGCTCCGCTCCCGGCTCCAGCTCACAACTCCCCTTGCCATCACAGGCCCTGAGAGCAGAAAAGTTCTCTTACAACACAGACACTAACCCGGACTATGACGCACCGGAACAAATCCACATGACACAGCTGGTAGCCCGAGAAGATTTTTTTTAAATACAGTATTGACGCTCTCAACCTATTTCGTTCAGATCAATTTTAACATTAACCGCTCATCTACGTCTAGGCCTTCAGCTTTTTGCGACCAAAATGTTGTATGCATTTCGCACCTCTCCAGGGCGTGCGCAGTGCCCGGAATATCTCGTTATCCTTTATCTGACCATCCTAATAGACCTAGTATGTGATGAATAATAAATTATGAAGCAGTATCAAATCGGGACTGAAATGCCCTGAAATACAATCTATGTTTGCAATGCAGCGACATCTTTATATTACGGCAGTGTGGTATTAATATGGAATTTACAATTCCATGAAACACAGAGAGTGCATCCATAAAACATGACAAGAAATAATTAACTCCAGATTGTTACACGCAGAAATGCCAGCATTCTAACCGCTAGACCACCGTTGCGGTTCAACCTGGGGTACGCGAAGACATCTTACGGTGTACGTGAAATTTAAAATATATATATTATTTTATGATAAACACTGAATAATCAGTAATGTAATTTATTTAATTTATTTTAGATGTAGATTATATACTATGTATAACTTGAATTAAACATCAAATATTTTGGGGGTACAAAGTTGAAGATAAATTATATCTGGGGGTACGCGAACAAAAAAGTTTGAATACCACTGATATAGACAATATCAGTCCGAGGCTTTCATAAAAGTAAACGCAGAAAGTAGGTCCACTCTCTTTAACACAGCAGTGCTAATAAGTGAAGAAATTTTCTTTTTCGGAACGCGGGTGACAACCACAGCTTTTAATTCAGAACTACGCGATTTCTATGGAAGTCGATGTAAAGGCTGTGAGACTGAGAAACATGACAACGCAATGATTTTATTACTCTCTCTTCAGCAATTTTGAGGCCTGTCGCACGAAATCCCGTCATGAGAGTGAAACGTGGAGGCCTCTCGCTCAAAAGAGAAAGCTGTCGGAGACTGAAACCCAAAATCGACACTAGAAAGATCCGCGACCGCGAGTGACTAAACCCAAAATGTCACAAGTGCAAACAAGCTGCTTGTAGCATTGATCAGTGCGTTCACTGACAAAGCTGTACGGACGCAACTGTCACTTCGCGGCTGAACTGCATGACTCACCACCAAGCGCCCGATGCGAGTAAATTACCGCTCCATAGAAACAACAAAAATTACTTAGCAGTTCTTGCCGGGAGCCGACAAGGGCAGTTGCGTTTAACTTTACCAGTGACAGCACCGAACTGTACGCGATAACGTTCTGTTCTTCTTCTTCTTCAACAGCCAATCGCCTACTCTTGAAAATAACCGTCGAACATTTTAGCGCTCTAAATAGCAACATTTCTTTATCACTGCTATAAAGGCGAATTTTTCTGTTGTGCATTATACCAAAGATTCTCTGTTTCTATCTAACACCTGGAGTCAGCCCTGGGTCCACCATTGCAATTTCAAAATGTCTTCCCGATTAACCGCTTAGTATTTAGCGAATGGTACACACAAGCCTGATCTTACTCACAACGACAAACCTGAAGAGAAGAAATTATTTCTGAGGAATATGTATACAAGAAATGAGTTTTAAGGTTGTGGACTAGATTAATCTAGCTCAGAATAGAGACCGGTGTTGGACTCTTGATTACACGGCAATGAATTCTTAGGTTCCGTGGAAGTGGGGGTATTTCCTGACCAGCTGAACGACTTTTGGCTTCTCCAGAAGGAGAAGAACTAATCTCATGGAGCTCGTTAAGTAACAAAGAGTTCCGCCCGATCAATTCACATTTGTCGACCTTGGGAAGAAGTGATGAGTGTCTGTTCCGTTATTCTCGTAGAAAGAGTAACCATGAAACAGCCCACACATGCGGGCGCTCGCTGAAGGAAACGAATCATTCATTCATTGCGCATGAAATTTTAAGATTCTCATGGCTGTGAGTACAAAGATGGCTGTCTCCTGGGTTGTTGCGCCGTGTAGTCTGGTGGAAGTATACATATTCACCAGTCAATCAACATTCTGCTCGGCGGTGATTGTCCCATTATTACAGGTGAGCACTGTTCATGCTGTGCATACAACAGAGACATCTCGTTTTGTACAACAATACTAAGAAGAGAATGCGCGTATCACGTAATTATTAACCCTTCGTCCTCCCGGCAGCCCCTCTGTAAGACGTCACGATAAATGACACTGAAAACAGTTATACTGAAAACCCCGGAGGTCCCAATTCAATCCATTCCATGAAGTTACGACAACCAATCATTTCCAATGCGTATCTTTCCCTGCACGGACAATGCCGCACAAACTCCCACAAAGCAATGGGTAAACGCGCTCCGGTGTAGTATGACATCCGTCAGTGTACTGGTTTTTTTTTTTTTTTTAGTGTTCTGTCTGACGACAGGTCCATATGAACAGGATCCTTCCATCCTTTTCTCGGACTGGGACCTGTTCATATACGTTCTTGGCAGATGATCCAGAAGTGGTTTGCCATTGCCTTCTTCTGTGTGTGAATGGAGTAATTGTTGGGATGCCACGGAGGAAAACTCCGTGTTGTCTAGACCACGGCCTTGCCCAACACAAGTTATAAATTCGGGCACCGCCGGAAATCGAACCCGAGGCCCCAGGATTACAAGGCCAGCGTTCTAACCGCTAGACCACCGTGGCGCAGACTGGCGTGTAACGCACTGGAAATCTAGTGGATGTCAGCAACGGTACAGGGCGATAATCCGATCTTACGATGGCATAAGTTCATATATGGTGTGTAAAATACCGTAACACAAATTTAACACTAGGTGGGCTTCAAATTATGTTTCTCTTCATTTCAGCACGCACTACGCACGTCGGGCGCGCGTCTTACCTGTTGGGAGACTCGAGGTCCTGATGGCTCACTGCCAGGGGCACGGCGGAGTGCGGGAATCCAAGCAGCAGGAGCAGGGGCAGCATGCAGCCCCGCGATGCAGCGGTCATATCACCCCTAGTGGGCCTCCTCACTCGTCTCACCATCGTCTGTCATCTCTGCAAGCAAAGGGGATGCGATCCTTGAAAACATTAATTATACAGGTATTACCTTACGTCAGAACTTGCAGGACACTACAAAATTTCCGGCATATAACTTGATGTCAAGAGGTCACGCCATCATGGTATCTTTATATCGTTGTTACACCCTCACGGTCGGCTGCCAGTGACGGTCAAGCTGAAGGTTTGTAGGAAATATAATTGCTCATGGACACTCCGGAGGTCAAATTTTACAATTTCGCTGCTTGTTCTATCGGTTTCCAGCAGAGATCCTGGAATATTCAAACCCGCATATCATTGTTCATTACCACCATTCCTCAAATAACAAAAGCTTTAGTTCCTAATTGATATGTATTATTTATGAACACACGTAGTAGAAATATCGAATTCAAGACGAGTCTTTGTCAGAATGTCACCTGCTAACATCTGAACCAATTGGTGTTCTGGATAAATTTAATACAAGACAATTTGCGGTATCTATCTGTTTTACATAAAGGCTTGATGAATTTAAGTTTAGATGCAATTTATCTGTTTTACATAAAGGCTTGATGAACTTAAGTTTACATGCAATAAAAATAATCTGAAACATTCTTTTATAAAAATTATATTATGAAATGAGACAAACCTAAGCCTGCGTTGAACGTGGTAGAGTAGGAAGGTATACGATGCAACCAGCCGATTACAGCAATAGGCCTTCGAATTGTAAATGCATGTAATCCGAAATATGCAAATAATTACTCATCTGGTGATTCAATTAGTATCAATATTTTTTTCAGGTTCGATCTCTAATTAATATGACTGAAGCTACGAATGTAGGAAGATAATTAAAATAAATCAGTTTGTCGACATTTTAAAATATGGGGTGCAAAGTAGACCTGCCTCCTTGTGGTATACCCTGGGCAACGTCTCTGACGGCAAAGTGGTGTACAAACTTGGCAAAAATGGGTCAAAGATGAAATTCTACGTACCTGCCATTTGACATAAATAAATAAATAACATTTTCAAATATGAGACATCTTACGCGCGTTCGTAACCCTGAAACCCTGTTATAATAGCTCCGTCTGTCTATTCGTCTCCCCGTACGCATTAAACACTCGAGAAAGACAGATCGAATCTTCATTTTAAAGTTTTACCAAAATCTGCTTTCATATTTCAGCTTTGGTTAAAATCAAACGACAATAACGGAAACTGCCCATGAGGTCTGACACGCGTTTCTGAGCTCGAAGATGACTGTGCGGGGAACACGCAGGCCATCTTGATTACCATAGTCGCTATGGTCACACCGCCCACGCAAATATCTTTCGCAATGAATTGTTACGCTATGCGTACATTTCCTAACTTGCTCTTAAATAACAACGACATTCGGGCTTGCAATCTATGAAAATAAAACCAGACGTCATTGAACAAAATAAGAATCAATATATGTCTTAAATGACTTTTAAATGAACACAATCTAATATTCAGTTTACGGCATGACTTGAAATATATTTTACGATATTTATAAATTTAATTATTCGTGTTTTTACCGTCTAATCACAATTGTATATAAATAAAATTTATACATAAGATATTAAAATATCATTTACATATTTGGTACAACTTTTTACTACATGTTTCGGTTACATTGAACCATCTTCAGGTGTAAAGTTAAAAGTTAAAAATTATAATCTTATAAACTAAAACTTAATTACTGTTGTTGTGTAACATCTGATGATGTTTACTTCCAAATTCATTGGAATGAGGGTATATTTTGAAGTGACGCAATTATATCAACAACTGATATTTATAAATTTTAATTTCGAAACGAGGTAATGGAAATGATGACCATCTGAAAGTTGGAGACAAATGCGAGAAAGCTGAGACAAATTTGCATTAGTTCACGGTCTGAAAACAAAACACAGCTGAAACAAGCAATGCAGCAAAGTAGTGTCCAAAAAAGAGAAAATATTTATACGTGCACATATGGTAACTACATTTATAAAGTGTATTAAGTGTCCCCTGCGCAGAAATCTGATCACATTTCTTTTTACAGACACAGGCCGAATGCTACAAGACGTGCGTCACAGGATGTACTACTTTTACGTTAAGTTTGGCTTTGTTCTGCGTTTTTCATTTCCACCGATGTGCTGTTTTATTTCTTAAGCAAAGTTATCCTCTACAGACATCGACAGAATATTCATTTCTGTTGTTGCAATATTAATTAACCCTGGAGAAAGTGGGATGTTGCGCAGATGCAGACTGACTTTCGAGTAATTACGCTCTGTGTAATTAACTTCTGTGTCCGCCACGCTGTCAGTCTGAACATGACAGGAAGTTCACCTTAACAGCGACGAGGCTGAAGGAGACGCTCGTGGGATCTTCCCGCCTCAATAATAGTACCAGTGAAAACAATCGATTATTCTGAAGGTAACAAAGAACCGGACAAACGAACTTTCCTTTCTTACCATTCATGCGTTTTATCTAATTACTTAATCGCAAATTCCTCACATATAAAATGCCCAGAGCCAATCTCATATACTTTGATACAGATCGCCCTAATATTTCTTGAACCATCTGACGTATTTTTATTAGACCCTACATTAAGCCTTTCCTTTCCTGGCATCAAAACTTTTGAGTTGGGAGCGATACTAGCGCCACTTAATGTAGGTTCTTTGAAATCATGTTTGATAAAAGATCTCCGAAAAATGATATCCTATTTGCGCATCTATTGTATAATATGAAACAACAAAGCTATGGTCTCACTAAATTACCCCCATACTCAGTAATGAACTACTTGTGTTGAGCAAGGCCGTAGTCTAGGCATCACGGAGTTTTCCTCCGGGGGCTTCCCCGGTTTCTCCGTGGCATCCCAACAATTACTCCTCTCACACACAGAAGAAGGCAATGGCAAACCACTTCTGATCATCTCTGCCAAGAATATATATATGTATGAGCAGGTCCCTGACAACCTGAAGAGGTTGGAAGGATCCTGTTCATAATATATGGACCTGTCGTCAGACAGAACACTACAAATAAACTATTTACTTAATAAATGTTTTATGTTAATAAATACAAAAAACAGAGACAATGAAATTTACGATGTTTTAAGCAGTAAATTTGGCGCAGGATGGATACAAGTGGAATTTGGCACAGAAACTGTATAACTGAATTAAAAATTATTGATTATATAATTTCCAGCAATAACATGCAATATGCCTGCTGAAGCACTGGAAATATAAAAAAAGGCTATTTCAACTGTAAATTTACGCAGCGTTAATAAATGATTAAGCTTGTGTGTAGCAAGTCGGATTTGGATAAACAAAAGCCAGTCGTCTTAAGATACAATTTCTGGTATTTAATTACACACACTGCGCAAATAGAACAGCGGCGAAGGAAGACAGAAAATAACAAAAGTCCAGGTTGAATTGAAAAATTTAATGCAAAACTTTGTCGTCATAGCGAAAGAAGATAGGGGAATAATGTGAAGAAGATTTAAGTGCCGCAGTTTGTAGAAATAGTGTTTCTCTTTGAATTCAGTCCTTCAGATACCATAACGAGGTCGCTAGAAGAAATTTCTATTTTCATAGCCACGGAACCGGCAAGAATTACCGAGGATAAAACTCTATTTTCTTTCTCGTGTTGACACAGTAATTGTTAGTCAAGTTTCCAACTTTTACATCCTCCAATGAAGGAGAGCCAGCGAGTCGGCCGCTCTTTCCCCCGGCAAAAGAAAGCGTTGAGCAGAGAGAGATTACGACCCAAAGGACCAACCAACTTGTCCCTAGCTCGTTCAGTCACGAGGACCCGAATTATCGTACACCACTCAACACAAAATCGTCAGTATCAGTCTTGAAATCCTGGCTAGATTGTTTGCTGAGAGTAATGAAAAATCTCTGTCGTCTTCACTGGGTAATCAGATCTAACAACGTGGAGAGACATCTCGATATTTCTCGCATTCAACAATTTTGCAACTTAGCTTTGACGACAGAGCTGCAAAGTGAATTACAAGAACGGATACACACACGCGGGCTGATTAAGACCAGTGCCGGAGGGGATGCCTAACCGGCAGGGTTTCTGTGCAACGCTGTGGGTACAGAAGGGCGTGACACTTACGTGTTTCGTTCATTTCATTACATAACCACTTCTTTAAAAACCTATTGTCGTTTGTGTGCAGGGTGTTGTGACATGATTAACGTGAACTGAAACCTGTTTCTGTCAAAGCTCACGCAATGGAATGTTCCCATATTATTACACATGAGTAGCCCACATTTCGTTTCGCTTTTCTCTCCGACTACTAACTTGACAGATCTGTTCTTCAATAACAAATATGTTGAGTTAATTTTCTTCGAATTTCTCGTAGTTTCTACAAAATTAAACAATTGAGTGTAAGATAACATCTCCTGTCATGCAGAACATTCTCAGTCACTCCCAACAATCCACTGTCACTCTGAGGTCAATAACTGTAAGTCACCTGGAAACGTTGTACAAATCACTCTGTTATTTTGTGTTTGCGAAACGGAATATGTTTGTCCTGTGTGTAACTGAGTTGTGTGCCGTTACAAAGTCCGTGTCATTACTCAAGCGGTTAGTCGCGGGCTTCTTCCCGGGGAGGCTCGGGTTCCCTACGAGGTCTGTCCATATGGGATTTTTAGTGGACAAAGAGATCTTCTCCGAGTCCGTATATTTCTCCCGTCAACATAATCCAACCGCCGCGCCATCTTCACTCATATATCAATTGGAGGATGGACAAAGGACCCGTTAGGGGCCCAGTTCAACAAAGACATGTTCTTACCCCATCGCAACAATATCAACAACAATTCAATATGTAGGCCTTTCGTATAAATTTCAGTTATGATAAAAGAAGACGACAAAAAACAAAGGAATAAAAATAAATGTGCCTTTGTATAAAAATATTTACGATAAATTTACTTTCAGTGTTTCAAATTCAAGGTATTCTTTCAAAATGTTCAAATATCACGAGGTTACATTGTCATTTTTCGCGCTTTGCTAGGTAGGATTTGAAGTTTTTAGGGTCACTATATCAATTAAACTGTGTCTTCCGGGGCGCGATGAGTCGTCAGTATGAAACTAATTTCCAGTGTTCATATTATCACTTTTGTCTTCTGCAAATGATTTAGCATGATGCATAGTTTTCTGAAATAAATATGAATGAAAGACGTGTGGCCAACATAGTAGTACGACTCGGGAGTTACGAAAATTCCTTCACGTGACTGCAATGAGAGCTGTCTGTCTGTGTCCCGCTAACCGACAGTAGCTCGAAAACCATGAAACAATATGGCCGACACGCGCGGATCGTTTCGCATTGGGCACGTTAATTGTTAACACATGCCTACGTCACAAAACGCTTTACTGAGACTGTGTCTGTAAGTAAACAGCAAATTATGCAGAACCGAGGTTCTCACGGTTGTAAATATACGTCACAAAACGCTTTACTGAGACTGCGTCTGTAAGTAAACAGCAAATTATGCATAGCCGAGGTTCTCACTGTAGATCATTGTCTTCAGGGTTGCGACGTTGTGTAGTCTTGTAAGTGTTTACCGACGTTCCGGAGGAACATACCGACTTTATCTTCGCCCTAAGTTGGAGACAATACGTTCCTCTAAAACATTGAAATCCACACGGAACAATTACCAGAAGACCGAAATGTACAGCCAATCATACGCAATTGTAATTAATATGCATGACACATTATTCACGACTAGCTATGTGTTGCGTAAACACGCCACTGCTGCAGACAGTTTTGTTAGAACAAATTACTACACAAATACTAAATCATCGAGCAGAGTTCTTCTTAAGAAATTAGTTGCTTAGCTAGTGAAAAAGTACATAATCTTTAATAAAACCCGAAGGTTCAGTATCGTATTCACAACAGCACGCTGTTTCTCTCTTTGAAGAGCCAGATGAATCCTATCCATATCTTGTCCTGTCACATTCACACTATTTTAATAATATCCTCCCATCTGTATCTACATCTGATACGTGGTCTCCCCTTTTCACAGTTTCCTATTAATTTTCGGTCTTTAGAATTCTGTTCTCAAACGCTCTCAATCTAAGCTCTTCAGACTTTACATATGGCGCACACTTAACAAATAAGAAAGGAAAGTAGACTCGTTACGTCTCCACAGCCCACAGTGTGATAAACTTTGCAACAAGAGAGTAATTTTTAGTTTAAATATATCTGCAACGATGAACACCGTGGTCATTAGATTATGCAGAATTGAAAAAAGTATGTTAACTCTACTGGACTGCACTACTTGTTTCAAGGTTGTTTCACCAATTAGGAAATACTGTGCATGTAACATCAGAAAAGTAACGCTAGGGAAAATATTACACGCTTTAAATTGTACTCGTTGCTCAGCCATGCGTCGGACCTAGGGAAGTGTCAATGCTTGCCTACAGACCGGAAACAAGGAGCAGGATGTAATTTTAATCTCTGACAGAAACATAGAGCACTACCATTCGAGGATGATTTTCTTCTGGCTTTTAGGGCAGTGATGACGGAGGCAGCAAGGACCTCTGAAACCCTGGTAAGCAGACTTCTTCTTCTGTTGTAATCAATCCTAGGATTGGTTGGCAGCAGCTCTTGAGCTGCTGATACTTGGGAAATCCTGAGGATCTTTAATGCGGTGGATTCCCCTTGCCTTCCGCATCCTATGCCGTTGACCCATCCGGGTTCATCCGCCTTTAGGGGTGATTTCTCACTCCAAGGGCATGAGGGTGCCCTGGACCTCCACCAGCTCATCCACCCTCCGAAGAGGCTGTTGGCTCTTGGTAGAAGGGGACCACTCGGTCTGTGGACGCAGTTTAACGTCATGCCCGGGACTACGCGATGCTAAACCCAGAAGAAAATCATCTTCGTTCTTACAGCAGTAAGAAGCTCACTACATTACCACTCATATTCTGCAATTCTCGCGTCTTTGTAGTCTTTACAGGTAAACATTTTAGTTGTCTAAAAATGTGCCAGTTCGAGACGAATTCTTAGCACGTCACTGAGCACGTAATCGATGCTTCCAAGATGAGATCATATCTACTGGTAATCTGATATGTAATAAGGCCTGAGTCAGAATAGTTGACAAGAGTACACCACTCACAGATACATGCTTATCAGTCCATCAAACCTAACAGCTGGTGTACCAGTTGTACAACTTTTAATTACTTTTCGAGTGGTTCTGCACGGCTTCAGCGGAAACGACACCTGGCAACACATGAACATTTCAGCGGCATTGTGGATACGATAATACAGTACGAGTGCAGGAATTCCTCTGCGATAAGCATTTTCAAAGCAATAATACAAAACTGAAACGTTAAACACATTAAATTTATTCGTAAGAAAACTTTCAAGAGCCCTGACTAAGCACAACACCGGCATATCCTTGGTATTAAGTTGGGAGCTTCGTCTTTGGCAAGAATTTGACCATACGAACAGAGGATCCAGGGAGATATTTTGAGGGCACTGCAGAAAACCGGAACGCTTCTCATAGGCATAAACTATTACCATTATGGTAGGATAACGATCTCGTTCTGCACTCTTTGCACTTTAGACAAAATGCAAATGTACTGAGAAATTACAACATAGGTAATAAAAATATGTATAAATTTAAATAAAAAGAATAAACATTCATACACTTCGCCACCAGCCTTGAATAAAAAGTTTCAGACAACCGACAAAGGGTGGTCCTACAGCTTTGAGGATGGCAGGCAATAAGGCTCACAAACATTCTCGAACTAGACGTTTACAGTCAACTGGGAGGATTCTTTGTAACCGCCTAGGCTACGTTTGACGGAAATGAAAACTGATACTTCGAATGTTCTTTGTTTGCATGGTGAATGTCCATTGCCCTCGAATTACGTTATTGCAGTCCCGTACAGCCTGTCAAAGTCTCTTGTGCTAATCTTCCTTCAAGCGCTTCGTACGGAAATACAGTTCAACAGCAAAGTATGATATAACGTACACAATTCTGGTAGAGAACTCTTGGAAAACGTCCACTTGGAAGACCAATACGATCTTCAGGATGGTGGATTCTGGGGATCGGAGACGGCATGAAGTAACGCGGGATTGTCCAAAAACGGGCTTTGGAGTTGCACCTTTAGGTTCTGTAGTAACTTTTTAAATTACTGACATGCAACAGGTGCTATTAATCCCGGGAACTTATGCACAGTGGGCCTACAGCTAGGATGAAGTAACATTGTGTCCACAACGGCTCTTAGAACACAATACAAATTACCCTAACGGTTAATAAATGAACAAACAATAGTGGGAAACGATTACAAACAATGGCGTTGGACTGGAACAGTGCACGGAGAAGTCGCGTGACAACCGATTTCATTCAAGATAGAGAGACATTCGAACACTGTACGTAGCCTGTACAAAACCTGTTTCCCAAACAGCACACTGCCCCTCATACGAGTTCTTTGTACCAAAAATACGCTAAATGTAGGCCTACATATACTCGACTCATCACGACTGTCCGTCGGTATTAAACACAGCGACTACGCCCTTTGAAGTTCAATGGAACTTTATCGAATAGGGCAACAAAGTCTCGGCGAACAAAAATGTGGCAAACACCGGGAACTTAACCGAGCTCAGCTTTCGTTTGTATTGTTACTGTTACGAACATTGAACTGCCACAGTTCTTAGCGACAATTTATTTTACATGTCGACCTTGACGTAAGCCTCAGTGTTTCATGCGCAAAGAAAGTTCGATTACCTCTCGTTCATTCTGGTCACTGTTCAAAACGACTCTTACTTGAAACAACACAAATACAAAATGTTCTAGTTCGGTTTTGGAGAATGAGCCGCGTCGAATGCTGAAGGTCGTCCAACGTTTCGGCAAACAATGCTGTTGCCATCTTCGTGGTAAATGTGTATTTGGTGGGTGATTTTTTGGAAGATTTATATATAGAGCAGGAGGTATGTGGCGAGTGCGATGTGACAAAGCAGATCTGCGGAATGGAGGAGCGGGCTGCTGTTTAATCGGTGGCAAGCACGTGGTTGAGGAAAAGAGGTGTGACCATTTGCTACATATAAAGCCGTTAATTAATCAGGGCCATCCTCGCTCTGATGACGGAGGCAGCAAGCACTTCTGAAACGTCGGAAAGCACGTTAGACTATACGGAGCAACAACCCAGTAGGCAGTCATCTTCAAGAATGTAATTAATCAGCAATATCAAGGCTAAGACTTCGATCAACCCCCACATTTTATTATTATCATTATTTAGTGTTCTGTGTGACGACAGGTCCATATGAACAGGATCCTTCCATCCTTTTCTCGGACTGGGACCTGTTCATATACGTTCTTGGCAGATGATCCAGAAGTGGTTTGCCATTGCCTTCTTCTGTGTGTGTTGGGATGCCACGGAGGAAAACTCCGTGTTGCCTAGACCACGGCCTTGCCCAACACAAGTTATAAATTCGGGCACCGCCGGGAATCGAACCCGAGACCCCAGGATTACAAGGCCAGCGTTCTAACCGCTGGACCACCGTGGCTGTCCAACCCCCACATAAAACGAATAATTTTATATATGTATCTACTCTGGTCTGTATTGACAAAAAAGAGTTTAAAATTGTAGAATTATTCACCTTACCCTCATTTGTTCACTCTAAAATATTCGGCGAAGCGAATTATTACTACACGTTCATTGCACACTGTGCATGAATTCAACAAATGTGGGGTTGATCATGTCTGGCTGTCTATAAGTTGTGTCGCGTAATCGAGAACCGCTGGACGGATTTGGATGAAATTTGGTGAGGACACTACCCTAAAATTGTACTTTTTAATTTCATACCTTTAGTAATACCAACATGGAGGGCAAACAAACTTGTGAGGTGGGATCTACACTATCGCCACCTGCAACGGGGTCAGTAACTTACGCATGGTGAAATATTTTCGAAAAATACGAAACCATGGAACAGTAATTCTTTGTATAATGTAAAGTACGTACCACAGAGTTGTGACAGTGTTTAAAAAAGATCGCGCGATTTGTATAGTTGGAAACTAAAGTCGTCTAAGCAAGGTAACTGATACGATCCTTTATTAACTCTTCAGATTTTTCAAATATCGCGAGTGTCTAGTGAAATTGTTTTGTTATTTTGTTGCATTTCTGTTATTTTGGCTTCTCGCAAAACAAACTGGAAAACCTTCATATCCTAACTGTAGCTTTATTAGCAACATGGTTCAAAATCCGAAGGTGAGAGAAGCAGTACCAGGAGGCCCTCAGTTGTAAATAGACATTAGACCTGCGCCTGGCGTCCATGATCGGTAGACCTTGGCTATGGCAAAGGTGCCGATGGATTCCGTGACCGGTTTGTAATACTGCCAACAACTTTCCACATGAGTGGACTACAGCGACCAATTACAAAGCTCGATGTCAGACATTAGACGGTGCAGTAGCCACAATGAAATAACAACTTGCGCGATAAATTATAATAATCTTTCGAAAGGATTTCCATCTCCCAGTCATGAGATCCGGTTGGTTTAACCTGCAAAGTAATGTTCCTGAAATAATAAGGTATTCGAACATTATATATAAAAGCAGTTATATGATTTCTATACCCAGTGTTGCGAAATCCATCCTCATACAAACGTAACAGAATAACATTAGAGTACAAAATTATTTTTTTAAAAAAATATTATTAATAATGAAATTGTAGAGATCTTGTAACCACTGTCTTATCGACATACTCTCCATATTTTACGTTAAAGGGAAACATTGTGGTTCTTTAAGTTTGTGTATCTTCTAACCCCCAAACAGTTTTGTCAGTAATTTACGTTTTCATTAAAATCAGTTTCAGCAGTTTTTTTTAAACATTCTACAACATCGACAGTGTCAAAACAGCGATGGCGTTAAGGTTAAGGTCGTACCAAAGACGCTGACAATTACATTTTTTCAGCACTGACCACCCTACGTTTTTGAAAAGACTATTTAATACAAAAAATTAAAAATGACGTAATGATGTACATGGATAGTTTCTTCCCTATACAATTATAACAGATGAACCACTAAATTTAATATCATGAAGTGTTATAAAATTATGTACAAATTAAACACGACACATTTGTTGAATGTAAAAATTAAAAACAGAAACAGTGGAAACACTTATTTCGCACCTCTCGGTTAATGGAAGGCCATATCAAAAGCTTTGTATAAAAATAAACATCTGTGGTTCTAGAGTCCTTGACGGACCTTAGCCTCCTCACATATGTGAGGTTACTTGATCTATGTAGACCTTTGGTAGAACTCCTTGGACGAGTGATCAGCCCGTCGCAAGGCCTCTACCTATACAGGACGGAGAAAGACGTGTACAAACATCCATGCCTTAAGTAAGTCACGATATGAACTCCTTTAAAACAACATTTCAGAATCTTAATACTCGCCAGCCAGTATGTTGTAACAAGCTTCTGTGCCAGTTTGTTGAGTTATGTCACTGGAATGAAACAGAATTGCTCTAGTCAATAAATCGGTGGCTTTATTACAGTAAAGTTGCTACAGTTCACATCCAGTCACAGTGTGAGCCACTGGACTTATCTAAGCCGCATGCACATGCCATCTTCCTTTGAACATTAAAGGAGACAGACTTGTTTTGTTAAATTAAGGGTACTTTAATTTTCAGTTATGAAAATCTGCTCTCCGTTTTGGACGCCTCCTGACTGAATCTGCCTATTGTAGCTGTCAGAAATAATGATCGGATTGTTGTCTTCTGGGATATTGCAGATGCCGACCAATGTTTCGGAGGAATCTAACGCCTCCATCATCACGGCATAAGAAGATGCTGGTGGTAGGTTTCACCGAAACAATGGTAACTACTAGAAATATACTCTGCGTCTTAATCAGAAAAGCCACAATCCGAATTTTCACAGCCGTGAAAACTTGAATGTCCCTATGTATTGCATCTCGATTCCCAGGGAAAGTGCAATTGTCCAAGTCGTTGCTGTTCGAAGTAAACATGAGACTCCGGGGTACGACATGCACACACAAGAGGGAGGAACTTACTAATTTACCACTTATCTGCAGAGGAGCGACTGTCCCACACTTCACTGCGAGCCTTAAAACGACAGACTGAACCCAGAGCGACTGATTACTCAATTGGAAACTGATAAGGAAGATCTCATAAGCTATTAAGGTGCTATCCAAACATTGCCTTTATTGAGGAAACCTTCACCAAGTAATGGAAGTTTTCGTTGTCACATACAACGGAAATTTTAAAATATTCTATGTATTTGTACGATGCAAGTAGTCTGAAATTCAAATCTTAATAACGTATGGAACTGTAGATCTATGTAACGTTTGTCTACGCTGACGCACAAATTTCTTTGGACAGAGATCACCATGATTTTCGAAACTGAAACATCGACAATTTTCCCGGGTTTGACTCCCCAGACGAACATTACCATTTTCAAACGACGAGCACTTTGGAAGAAACATGGCGTTGGGTAAGTTTTTGGGACGCTCCTTTGCCTGTCCTTTGACACAGTGAGAGGCCGACAATTTTCCCCGAGTTTATTTCTTCTCCAATTTTTACGCGTCTATTTATACTATAAAATCATCCGCCAATATTGACGAGAAAATCTAAAACAGCACGAACATTATAGTATTAAAATTAAAATCATTACTTAGCTATCTTTTCTTAATTAAATAACATAATATGATTTTATACAGCAAAAACACTCGACCACGACGTTCACTATAAAATGTAGATTTTAGGGTATTTTGGTGCTCGTTAATGAGCAGGAGTGTGGTGTGGTGTTGTGTTAAGTGCGTAATTTAAGTTTATTTACCAGCTTTAGTGAAAATAAATAAAATTTACATTTGTTTGTAATTATAATAAAGATTTGTATTAAAGTTGTCATCTTTTGTAAGAGGCGTGCTGATTTTTTCGCGTTCGAATTGCATTGGTCACTAGAAGTAATAAGCAGATGAAAAAGGCCTATGATGTGGGGATTTGATGGAAAGGCGCACATTTACGATTGCAATAACAGACTTATACATATTCGACCCAGCCCGAATTCAGCAAAACTAGTCACAGAATTAGAATTTGTCGTAAAACAAAAGTCCAGCTAGAATAAAAATGTGTTTTAATCTCGCTTATCGGTAAAGTAAAATGGGGGTGGGAAGGGTCAGTGACGTTAACGGCGGCCGACAGATAATTGAGGAGACGCTTCGCTTACCTGTGGACACACCACGGACAGACAGTCTTCATAAATTGTCTATGCCAGGAACTATATAAGCAGACATCAAGTCTATTGTGCAACACGATGAAATAATTCATAATCGCAACGTATATAACAACGGAATTAAAGAAAGAAAACAATTCCGAAAAAATTAGCATTTCCTGATATCGTAATGACGACTAAACCTAGATTGAAATGCTTAAATACTTTCTAAGGATTTGAAAATAAAATTTACAAATATCCTCCTGCTCTAAATTTGTTACATTTTATACAATAATTTTTTTTTCAAGAGTTTCTTGTGTGTCTCTGACTCATGGTTCTACAATTACTGTCAGCCAATTTATGAACGCTATATATCTATAAGTTGGTCTATCTGTCTGTTCGTTTGAACACTTACGAATCGCTGGCGACATTACGCTCTAATAATTAGTCATGCGGAATGTTCCACCGTTAAACTGCAAATCGTACACGTCCCTCTGATCAGCAGATGCAGTCTGGAATCCAGGTCACTTGCGGCAGGCGGTTCTGTCACATGGGATGAAAGTTCTTTCGTAACGCAATTAACTACACACAATTTTCAAATATTTTTCATCAACGTTCAAGAATTTTTGAAGTCGAACGAGTAACTGGCCTTCGCTACATCCATCACAGAAGTTCATAAAACCTCAGAAATGTGAATAAACTTATTTTAAAATTATTAAATATTAATAGTTGTCAACCTGGTTTGGACGACCTATGTCCAAGAATGAAATAAGTTCTTCTTTTAGGATACCTTTAGTTCGCAGACACTTCACTGAATAAGAATGAAAGCACAAAAGTAGTGTCACATAGAAAACGAAGACACTGACAACCTGCACACACGCCTAGAGAGACCTCTCGAACCACTGTAATACGTGCTTATACATGAAACCGCTACTCCTCACCAGCAAGAACCTCGCGTGTTGGCTGCCAGCCTACTACTGAACCAGTCTTCTGCGCGGAGGGCCGGTTTAAAGTCACTGGCACGGATTACATAGGTCACTGGTCACTGCCTGCCACGCATCACCAAGTCTGCCGGCTTTGACATGCCAAAGGTTTGCGTTCACATCTCGGAGGTTGACAGTTGAGTAGGACAGGTGGCGAAACTTTCTGTCGTCAGAGTTACTTATCAATGACAGTATCCAGCCATCCTCGTTGTTGCGGTGTCACCAAGGTGTCCCTGAATGAGAATTCTTCAGATATTACACGCATTCTTCTTTTCTTGAATGCGTTTTCGTTTAGAGCAGCACTTCATTTCGTTTGTGAGAAGGCTTCTTAAATCTGATGTCATGTATTTCACGGATAAAATAAATATCCGGCAAAAACGTCACTAAAAACAATCTTTTCCTTTTTCTTGCTTTTTCCTGAGTGAGTAGTATGTATTCGGTGTAAAAAAATAAGTCTAACAGCATTAATGTATCTCACGCAAAATATTAGAGCCCATGTGTAGATATAGATAAAGATCCGTTGTCTTAAATCATATTTTAGTAGTTTTCCCCTCAGTCTTTGCAGGCGGGTGTCGGGATAGGATGAAGTTCAATGTAATCCACAGACGCCGACAAACGGTCTGATCAGTGCCACGCTCCCCTCTGCGTGCCTTTGTGCGCGTTACACTGTTCTACGCAGAGAACTGGACAGCAACAAAAAGGCACATCGACTTCTGGCATCATTACCAAACTGTGATCTCGCCTCTGTAGTGTTAAACGCAGTAAAAAACAACAGAAAAGTACGTATAAGTATGTCAGTCAATCCATGCAGTCCGGCTGCTGGCACAAAGAAGATTGACCAGACCTACGTCTGAGGAATTCCGTCATCAGGGACTACCAGTTCAAGACGCTGCCACACAGACGCCGTTGTGTCTTTGAAATTGTCCTCAAAAAGAAGACTTCAGCGTCTTCAACTTAAGCATCGTTGTGTAAACTAACTAACAAACAAACAAACAAACCTGTTTGCAGAATCTTAAACTCTTTAAGAGGCAGGCGGTTAATCACCGGCATCTCGTCGCGGAAGTCTATCTGGGAACTGAGGTGGGCAAAGTCCCACCGGAAAAGGTTTCTCGCCTAGTCCTCCGGTTTTCCCCTGTCAATAAAATTCCACCGTTGTCCATATTCAGTTGCGTATCGTCCGGGGCAGAACAATGCGCCCGTTAGAGCTCGCAGTCTCATAAAGACGAAGTCTCTCCACTTTACAACAATTTTAATCCTTGTACATGAAACACAAATCTACTAAACATTCAACAAATATTTATATCTTAAAATCAAAGTGTGTAAAGGTTCCTGACTGGTGTCACACAATGTGTGTTAAGTATTCTATTAAAATTTATCAGTGAATTTGATTGAATCACACTTTCGTTTTATTTAGCTGAAATGTAAAACAGCAGTACACGAGTTAATAGCTGGCATACATTTGTAACTTAAAAGCTATAAAAATGTAAACATTTTGGCCGCACATCGTGTTTAAGACATAAAAGAATGATGTGGGAAGCCCCTGAGGAAAACTCCGTGTTTCAGACATAAAAGAATGATGCGACTTTGACATGGCAGACGTAGACGATGGATGAAGTCCTAAACCATAAATACACAAATCAATAGTAAACAAATATTTCTGTTACAGCGTGCGAGCGAATTCGTAGGCCGACGAAAAATCTCAGTATCAGGTGTGCAGTTGTAGTGAGATGGTGCTAAATATTTTAATGTATTTTCTCGCATTTATTTTCACTCTTATTTTACATAACTCTGCATCGATTGCCAGTAGTCCTTATGTTAAGAATGCCAGTTTATCTGCAATGTTTCCACTGTAGGCTTTAAAATTGTAAAGTAAATAATATAAATGTCCAAGACCACATCGCAGTTTCAAGCTCAACATTTAGTCCACACAGACTAACTAACTAACTAGATGGCTTACCGAACCCGAAGGTTCATCACCGAATTAACCAAAGCCCTCCACCGGACCGTGTCCTGGGCCAACAAAATCCAGTTTCCTTCAACTCCTATCTCCCATAGATCCCGCCTGAGATTATCCTCCCATCTACGTCTAGGTCTCCCCAGCGGTCTCTTCCCTTCAGGTTTCCCAACCAGTACCCGGTGCACACCTCTTCTCCGATCCATGAGCGCTACATGCCCAGCCCATCGGAGTCCACACAGACAGAGACCCTAAAATGACATCGCAGTTTTTCCTGAAAATTACACGCAAATTGTGCTCATCGACGTGCAGGAGTGCTTTCTGCCTTCACCGTCCTGATGATGGAGGCAACAAGGACATCTGAAATGTCGATAAATTTCTACGAGACTACACGGTGCAGCAACCCAGAAAGTAGCCATCTTAAAATTACTATCAAGCAATAGTGAACTGAGAGAGGGTATTAATGTCTCAGGCTTTAAGGTAATTTTAACAGCCGTCATAGGATGTGATGCTAAACTGCGCGTGGAATAAATATCTATTCAAATTTGCACGGGAAGTCCTGACCACTACAAATAAATGCAAGCTGCATCGACTTCCCACTGCATTATTGCAGGAAACATGCATAATAATTATAAACAAATGAACGTCATGTTATGTTCAACTAAGCATTGAGGTCGATTACTACCTGAAATGATTAAATACGCTGTGAATGTAGAAAGGTATTTCGTGGAACCGTGATAAATGTGACGTGTCCCACATCGCATTCCATATTGGTTAAAAAGAATTCCCTTAAGAAATAAACCACTGTTTTCGTTTTACGAAAGTTAAGTTAATACATTTTACCAAAGCTAGTCGGACGTTAGATACAGAGTATACAGACTAAGTGAGAAAATATATTCTTGTATTTCTTTAAGTATCCAGAATATGGAAAAATATCATAAAAATAGATTAATGTTGTATGTTTTTACAATCATCGTAACAAGTTTCATGGCAGGTGGAAATCAAAATTTAAATTTGTCGTACAATTTTTAGTTAGCCCCAGTAACAAATTTTTATTAAAATCAATTCGATAGTTTCGGAGACGAAACATGACAACCGAAGTTGGCGGACGGACGCAAATTCCTCTGCATAAGCTCACTTCATGCACACATAGAACTAGAAAAGTACACGGCACAAAATCAGAACATCAATCAACATCCTGGAATGTTTATCAAGAGAGAACATTGACCGACAATCATGGAGCTTTGTGATGTCAGGTCTATAATTTTCACGGTCAACTCTTGAATGGTAAATGGTGGAAATTGACAAATTTCAATGCTTATAATCTCTTACAGTCTGCGCTAATGTCAACTACAGCAAAAGTCCACTGAAATTCGATGGAGATTAATTTTTAATGTCTTTGTCGTCTTTCCCTTCTTATCGTAATATCATTTCCGTCACCCACATTGCTTTCCCGTGCTCTAAACTTTAAATAACAATAAAATATTTAGTCTTTATACGTTTTGTCACCATATAGAAAGACTTGTAAATGTCGCCTAATGATTTCAGCTCTCGTAAATAGAACATTTTAATAACGATTTTAATATTATCCCATCTACGTCTAGGTTTGTTGACTAAAATTTCTCAAGCGTTTCTAACATCCACAGGTCTGATATGTGCCCCGCCAACAAATTAACATTTCCCAACACTATCACTTTAAATGTAGAGGGGCTGTACAGTCTGGGATGAAAGCTATTTCTCCAATCGTAGCATGTTTAACTAGAGACAAAAATCGAGAAAAACATTTAACAGAAACCTTAATAAATATGCTAATCTACAATAACTGAGTTTCAGTTAGCACTAACGTAATTCTCCACTTTTTGCAGATGCTTTTCTTCAGGCACCACATTAAGAAGTGTCACGCCAACGAAAGAATTATCTCTCTCTTCGCTGGGAAAGACGTCTTACGTGCAGCTACGGTGGACAAGGCAGAGGGTTGCTGCTTCTGATGCAATATCCTCACGCCGACTGCATGAAGGTGAGCATTGAGGCCATATCCTCCGCCAGCGAGAAATTAGCTCAGCGCAACGCGTGACAGCAACTGCGCCGACTGACCTCAACCAAGGGTGGAATTGGAATTGCGTGTTCTTTGTCGAAGCATTTGCTTGAAGCCTCTTAAGGCCTCGTCTTCCTTAACTGTTTCATTTCCTCTTCGTTTAACGACGCTTCTCCAGCTGCACAATTTATATGGAGTAAATTTTAAAAATCTGTAAAATCCGATAAATTTGTTTTGGCTTAGTATAACTAATGATGTTATCATTTACTGATGTAGGCCTGCACATAACGCAGTCACTTTCATAAGCTTTGTGTGGTGGAGAAATGCAAGATTATATTGATTATAATTTTTGTGTAGTAAATTTTTCGTTAAAATATCGACGGGCAAGCCACTGTATAAAATAATGAATAATCCGGCATTTTGTCGGGGTTAATTAATTTGTGCAACCTTTGTAATCCTGGGGTCTCGGGTTAGATTCCCGGCGGTGCCCGAATTTATAACTTGTGTTGGGCAAGGCCGTGGTCTAGGCAACACGGAGTTTTCCTCCGGGGTCTTCCCCGGTTTCTCCGTGGCATCCCAACAATTACTCCATTCACACACAGAAGAAGGCATTGGCAAACCACTTCTGGATCATCTGCCAAGAACGTATATGAACAGGTCCCAGTCCGAGAAAAGGATGGAAGGATCCTGTTCATATGGACCTGTCCTCAGACAGAACACTAAATAAAATAATAAATAGGCTACTCCAAAGAAGCATGCTACTTGCTGTTCTCATTATTTACTTTTAATTTCTTCATTACAGATTAACTATGGAGTGTTCGGGTTTGGACAATTGGCCATGTTTTATTTGCATTTGTGAAGATACAGAAGAAAGCAACAAGTATTATATTAGCTGATCTAATTAAGAACGGACGCGAAATGGGGTTTCTAAACACTAAACTATTATTCTATAGTTTCTACTGGTTGTTACTCACAAGAAAAGCTTAGATCTTGGCAAGTCCGACGACAGTAAATCTTT